CCCCCCCCCCCCTTGCTTTGGAAGGCGGGAAGAAATATCGTTAGGATAGATACCGTAAGAGTCGGAGAGTTGGCACGGGCCGGAGAGATAGCATCGGAGTGTGAAAAAACTCCGAGAAGAAACATTCGTTTATTTAGATTTACGCACCGGGGCCAGTGAGATCGCACCTGGTGCGATCTCACCTCGCACCGACCCCCAAATCCAAGCTTGAACTCCTTTTCAGCTGCCGGAACGAGGTACATGTGCGTACCTTTTACCTTTTACACTGGGGGACGGAGTCACCGGGGCACCCCTTTACGTACGATTGGATGGTCGCGGTTCACGCGGGATGCCGGTCGTTTTCGTATTTTTATTGGTATGGATGTTGCCAACCGTCCACTCAACCAATCACACAACGTACAAGCCGCACCCTACCCCACCTTACACAACCCGAAACTATTGTACTTCTGCGTACGTACTGGTATCCGTAGAAGGAAGGCCGAAACGTAAGCGGAAAATCAATTGAAACCGTGTGTACTGGTACCACCTCAGATGAGTATTTCGCCGCCTTTTTTCCGGCTCAGATTATATGCGTGTGTGTGCACAAGACCGTGTGCGTGCGTGGGTACCTACACTGGTATCGATCAATACTGTGGCACCGGTCGGGGATATGGCACTAGGGTGTGTGCACAAAACACCTGTGTGTATTTGTTTCATCGGGGATCGATCGCACCGGTGGGACCGAGCGTACCGGGGTGCCTTGAAAATTCTAAACGGAATGATTTGATTGCATTTCCGCACCGGGGTCGGAGAGATGGCACCGGGGTGCGATTAAAAAACCCGAGGAAAATACAACTATAAAAACGATCGCACCCGCACCCGGTGCCAACTCTCCGACTCTTACGGTAGACTAGGGAAGACATTTTTGAGCCACCTTTGGCAAAGTAAGAAGGAACGATTGGCCCTCGGTGAGAGGTCCTGTGGGAACAATGCTCCGTCCTCTCGAGGACACGTGGTCAACGGTGTAACCGCGAAGGCATGCAAAACATAAGAGCACACCCCCCTCCCCTTTGCCCACCTGGCTCTCCTTCACTCCCGGGAAGAGCAGTGTGGAGTGAAGCCACTGCTGCAGCAGCACTCGTGCACGTTCCAGCTTTATTTTTTATTGTTCCGAGCAAAGGAAGGCAGAGCAGGACAAGAACAAAAGTGCGGGGAACAGGCAGGCGGGAAAAAAAGAAAAAACAAGAAAACAAGAAGAACAAAATATAAGACCACCGGACGAGAGAGGTAAGCAGGTTCTAGCGGTACTGTAGCCCACCCCCATCAACAAGGCAGCAGCTAAAGGTGAACAAAAAGAGTACGGTTGGTGGCATCGAAAAGACGAGGAGATATGGAAGTTCAGCGTTTCTGCAGTATATTTCCAGAGGAAGGATTATTTGCCCCTGTTCTCTTCTGTTCCTGCGATAACTACCGGAAAAAAAAAAAAAGCTCACCTGCACAGCAGGTTCAATCGATCCAGATAAAGTCGCTTCCGAAAACAAGAACGAACGATCGGTTGCGCGTGGACCAGGCTAAAATCAGGAAAAACATCTCTTCCTCTGCCAGGACATTTTCTGCATCAGAGGGTGAGCAGAGTTTGGAACAGTTTCTATATCGCGTTCCCGTGTTCGGAATTGCTTCGTGAAGGCGGCCTTTGTCAGCCAAGATTTCGTCCCAAAGCTCGAAATCCAACATCCACAGCAGTGTCACTGATTGGACAACATGCCAGTGTTCCGCCGCCGGCCTTTTGGAAGGTGGGGGTTGCGTTCCGACAATCTATCGAAATTGTAAAATCGAAAGCGAGCACAAATAGATTCCAAAACCCAAACATGCTAACCGCACTATCAAGCTGCTTGCCACACGCTCACAACATTGTACCACATGCTTCGATACTCGCCTACAGCCACCTACAGCCTGCTGGGCCATGCAAGCGATACGTAACAAAGCAGAACAATGACATCCAGCGAAGCACGGTAGACGTTCTCTCAGCGAGACCAAAAATACTTCACCTCGGGATATAGAGAGAGTCATCGTTCGCCGTCTTGGATGCCTTGTGGTTCTCATGGTCATAGTTCGAACAGTCACAACAAAGGGGCATCTTGGGGCCTTTTTCACTTCGTCCGGTTTGATTTTTTGTTTCGATTTCCTGCCTGCACTGACAGCTGTGTACGTAAAGCCAACCCGATATCAAACATCAGAATCCAACATGGATTTCCGGACGCGACATGTGCTTGACAAGGGCCACCCCACTTGACTTTGTATGAAATCATCACAGTGGGGGCCCTCAGGCGTGTCGATATTGAACATACCAGCATACCGAAACTATTCACAGCCACCGGCATCATTCAGGGTACAGAATAACTTGGTTACTCCGTCCGTGCCCGCCGAAAAGACCGGCACTAGACCGGACATTTGGGCCTACTCAACCGGCACTATTGAGGGCCATCCACTGCAATTGCAGGTTTCGTTCCTTACAGGCAGAGAAGGTCCTGCACACAGGCACACAGACGAAAAGAAAAAAAAATCCAGCTGTAACAGTAACAACAGACCTGTGTGTGCCACAGCCCAAGCCCACTGGTGAACGTTCAACGGACAAGAAAAATTTTTTGTAATCTGCACAGCAACCACGGCGGTCTCGCCTTACACTGCTTCTGCTCTGTGTCTCTCGTCTACATCTCTTGTCTGTCTTGTCTGTCTGTCTCCTGTATCCCTCTCCCAGTCGGTGTTTGTCTCTCTTCTGATCCCCCTCTTTCCTCTGTTTCTCTGTGTGCTCATGGGCCAAGAAAACGAGAAATTGACTCGTTGGGTCATACTGACAAAAATATACTTCATATATAACGGGCCTGTTGTTACTCATTTGGAAAGGCCAGAATACCGTATGTGAGTAAGAGTCTATATTGTGTAACGTGTACGCGGACAACTTGTGCCATATAACGCCTTGGGTTCCAATGAAACCTTGACCGTGCTTTTTCTCCGTATGCATAGAAACAATGAAAAAGGCAGGCCACAGAATGAACTAGAAAGATTGCCCCCATTTATTTGTGTAGGAAGAAAATGTACAAAAAGAAGAGAAAAAAAAGTAACAAGAAACAAAACGCCACGCTGTATTCGAACACAACTACAGCCAGCGCCACCAATTTCTTACGAACACGACTATTGCTGTTGGGCGCGCGGCATGGAGCCAAATTGATTGAGACCCGGAATGTGGAGAAGGGTCCACCTTATACCCAATCCGTACTCAAACCTACATTAATATATATGTCAACACACCGCTTTGCCCCGCGTCATACGGCCCTGCCTCCTCAAGCGCGCAGCAAACGCCCTCGACATTTGATTGAGGGGATTTCACCGCCGGGGGTGGGCGAGGATACTATGAATGACCAGCGTTCGCGAACCAGGCAAAGAAGGCGCACGCTGCACCAGCAAATGCCACAACGGCAAAATGGCAAAACGTTGCTGAAAATCAGGGATGCAGGGGTTAATACTGCAGCAGCACGGTGCGGCAAAAAGAGCTCACGTGGACGCCCGTGGCATACAGCGATGACACACATCATCACGACAACACCAAAAAAAAAATCCACCGCATCTCCCAAATCTCCCACCTGGTCGTCTGATCCCATCAGCATCTCGTCCGTCATGTGCGGGCATCCGGGCAACCCCCCCGCCCCCCCCACCGTGTTCCCGAGGTGCTCCCCCAGGCTGCGGAAGCTGGAGAACCTCCGGTATACCGTCCAACTAAAACCAGAACAAGGCCCAGCGTAATATCGGCAAGACATCGTTCATCAACACCGTGAGCACACAGGCCGAACCGACAACGGGGGGGGGGCGGCAGTTGGGATTTTTGGGGTTTCATTTGGTCTATTTAGAAAAGTACAAGGGGGTGGGGGGGGTGGGGGGGCGACGGCAGTTGGTATTGTGGGGACGGGGTTTCATTCGGTTTTGAAAGATTAGTAAAATGGTTATTAATCCGTCCACGAGCAGCACTGGACTATTGAGTGGAAAACGGGAATAGATGGCACGCACACGAATAAACAGCTGCGGACAAATGCGTCACGCATCTTCGTACTCGGAGTATGCGTTTCCCCATCTCCACTTAGGCGCCCATCTACATGGTTGGCATTAGATGCGATTGACGCACTAGCCCGGGTATATGCATGCAGGAGGGAAACACGCAAGAGGGAGTCGTTGGTCTTCGCATCTCGCCAACTGTTTTCTCCTGCGGTGCTTGCCTTCACTTTCAAAAATGACAAGTCCCATCCCGCCTGTACTCAACGACCATGTACGTACGCGCTTTCCCACTACCGGGCGGGCAGAACGCAGAATCATACTTGAAGATCTGGTGTGTGTGTGTGTGTACTCATAGTCGTGCATGCCGTAGTCGTTAGACCATTGACCTCGCATCCCTACAAAGCCGGGACGGAGCACGCCGGGCTCTCACCGGACCAGGCTCTCACATCACCAAACGCGAAGCGTCGTGAGATATTCGGCGAGTCGCATGAAGGGTGCGCTGCATCCTGCTAAGGGTTTTCGGCATCTTGTGCTTACTTCCTTGCGTACGGATGACAGCTGCGTATGACTTAATTTATTTTCTGGTGCTTTCACTTCCTGAGACAGTTGTAAGCACTGTGTAACTGCCTCGAGGGTGCTTGACCATTTTAACACAACGTGGTGCGATCATCCCCCTTGCGCGGAG